GGACAGGGCCCTGCGGCTGTCCGGGCCGCCGTTACCTGTTGGCTGCCAGCCGGGACGAGATGTACCCGCCGGGGATCTGGGTGATGATGTATCCCCAGAAAAAAGAGCCGTGGATCATACCGACTGTTTCGGGGTCCCAGTTAAACTTCGCTTTCTTCCAATGCGAGGCACCGGGAGAGAAGGAGAGAAAGAGAAGAGGAAGGCTGTAATTGGGCCAGAATAAAGCATCCACCCGCAGGAACTTCATACCTGGGGCTGGAGGGGTTGGGATTTCTGACGCCGGCGGTGGCCCTTGATGGCCGGGGCACAGGGACCGGGACGGGGATACGGAGCACCGGTGCTACTTGTCTTGCTACCTAAAATTCAAAAGTATCCTGGGGATCCCTGCCGGGCTCCTTTCGCAGCCCTGTCTGAAAATGCGAACGTCTCCAGATAGCTCGCTGTCAGAAGGGGCTAGCCTGGAAAGCTGTTGCTCAGCCTCATCTGCCCATGCACTGCTCGCGCAGAGGCACAGACAGTGGGGCTGCTTGCTGGTCTTGCCACCTCAAACTTCAAACGTATCTTAGGGGGTGCCTGCGGGGCTCCTCCAGCAGACCCCCCCCCGCATCCGCGGGCAGTCCTCATCCGACGCCCTCCTTCTCCATCCCGTGCCCTGCGGTTATTTTTGCGAGATATCTGCGCTTTTCAAGGTGGTGGGCAATGGGAAAAAAAAATAGTACAAAAAGTTCCCGCAAATTAGTACCGCAAAAGGAGGTTGAGAACCGAAAAGGAAAAATAGGAATAATGGGTGGAAATTTTTTCTCCTTCAAGAAGGGGGCTTCCGTGCTGCAAAGGGGGGCGGCGGGGCCGGGCAGAGGTGGGGGGTCCCGCTCGCCTGCCCTGAGGTGCTTGACCTGGGAGCTGTACTGGGAGGACACGGGATTTACGAGGGAAGGGTTCCCACCTCTTTAATAATTTTTCCTCCTCGGTGTATGGTGCTGTTATTGACCATATCCACGATGGCCACTCCCAAGTTACAGCGGATCCCGAAGGAAATGCAGAATCCCAGTCCGCTCATGATGGCAATGATGTACCTCCGGGGCAGCCCGAAGCAGGTACAGTCGCACAGCGGGGCTTTCTTCTCGGGCATTTCCACGGGCTTGCCATCCTCCGTCAGCTCGATGGTGTCCCCGGGCTTCTGCCTCTTCTCCAGGACCCTGCCCGACCCGGGGAGGCAAAGTCAGCCCTGGACGCCCGACCGGCTCGGGCAGCCGGAGCCCGAAGCTCACCGCCCCCCCACGCCCCGCCGCAGAAGCCCGGGGAGGAGCTCCAGCTGAGAATTGCTCATCTATCATTAAAGACTTCTCCTTCGCTATGTAGGACGCATGAAGAAGACATCATCTGTAACCACTGCAGAGGCGCCATGTTGAGTAGCCCAAGAGGCATAGGATGGAAACCGAAACAGTCCTTTGGAGAAGGTTTTATCTCCTCCTTGCTGTGTTAGAAACACCAAGGGGGATGAGCTTGGTGTGCATCTCGCTTCAGGTCTGGGAATAAAAGAAATGTTAACAGAAAAAAAAGAGGGAGGGGAAGGGGTGTAGCGACACTGCTACTTATTTTAGATTTGCAAAATGGCTGTCACATGCAGTGGAAGAAACCACGCCAGCCTGCAGAGAACTGCCAGCTCCGGAGAAGTCCTCCCAGCAGATCGCATCTGCTTAGCTCCGCGGTGGGAGCGTGCGGCCGCCCGGCAGGTTTAACCTTCCCAGGGCAGCTTCCAGCTCCAGCCCAACGCCCCCGCTCCCTTGGTTTAGCACGAGAACCCTGTCTCCTAGAAAACACTGTGCAGGAATCTGAAGGGGAACGGTTAGATGCGGCAATTTCGAATCAACAGAAAAATACCGAGAAGAAACCCCTGCCATCCACGGGAAGCAACTTAGAACATTTCGTTTTATTTCTTCTTTGTTGGAAAAGCTTTAAAAATCCCGTGTCAGTAGTAAGAAAGACCGGGTTTATCGAACAAGCGTCGCATGCCGAATGTCTTCATCTTCTTTTATCATCGAGATATTTAAAAGACAGAAAAAATAACGGCTTCCATCCAAGCTCCACCGTCCTGAGGAGCGAATATGCGACCGCTTCCCGACACTCGGGACTCTCCTACCGCTGCCCTCACCCCTGCTCTGGGCGTGTTGTCTCACGTCAGAAATTCTCCTCGGAGGAGCATCTCTTTGAGGTTAACTCATCCGGCTAATGGGGCAGTAACAATTAGCAGGAAAAGGCTCAAAAGCTTCTCCGTGCTTTGGAGAAAATACCGGGATATTCTCCACTAGTTGCTCAGTTGAAATTCTCCCGATTTTTCTTTGCTGGGAGAATTATTTCCACGCTTAAACACCGCAGCATTAAGAAATGTCTTTAAGTTGTGAATAAAATAAACCTGCGTGGGGTTTTTCTTCAGAATTCGTTCGTGCGAATAAAGGATGGTGTAGAAGCGTTTTCTCCCTGAATAGGCTCCGCGTCTGCGGGAAGACGCTAGAAATCAGTGCGTAAGGGACAGGAAAACTATTTCAGTTCTGAGAATCGGAAACAAAACAGTTCAGTCCCGTGAGTAGAAAAAGATGAGTAAATCGCGCATTTGTTAATCAAGGGGAGAGTTCAAACGGACTTTTTTTTTGAAAATACAGACACCGTTTCTCCATTATTCACTGTGTGACTATATAAAAAGCAGTAGGCATGATCGTTATATTTCTATGTTGTAGAGTCTTTGGGGACGAAAAAAGGGCTTCTTTCCTTAATGGTATTTTAAGCAATTATTCTGGATGATGAATATTTATTTTTCTGACCGTTGAAAATGACTTAAATATGACCAAAATCTGTAGGCTGTTCAGTGCGTTTGTTGATGGCTTTGGGTTTGCTTTCGGCTTTTCAAAATTGTACCCTTCCTACTAAAATGCAAACCTTAATTTTGCCTTTATCACTTGACTGATATGTCCCCTTTCCTGCCAATGGCAGCAGAAGTTGTGACTCATGCTGTGGAACAGCCTTGTGCCTGTGCCCAACACTGCCGCATAGGTATGGAAAAAAGACTTTTACGTGACCTACCCTCGGCAGATAAAGCCGCAGTTATCTTTAATCTGTAATTCGGAAATAAAACCCCCAGCTTCGGGGTAATTTCTAGCAGAGGGGACGATCGAAAATACATTGGGATTTCACAGACTATTCTCAAACGTCCTGGAGGTCACTAAAGTAGTAGCCAGACTGGATGGGGCACGGTGTGTCAACTTCAGTGCATAGACTTTTTAGGTATGCGAGAATTTGGGCTTTTTTACCTGTGTGTGCAGGGCTCCTAGACGGTAGAAGTGTTCTGTACACATAGAAACACACTGTTGAGTGATGCCTTTCAGTTTAGCAATTGCATCTGTGTATTACTTATAAGACCAGTGGATGCTTCTCAAGGCAGACTGATAAATAATTAAATACATCTCTCTATATGTTTCAGCTTCGGGAGAAAAAAAAAATCGTTCGGATATCAATTATTTATACACCTCCATGTTTATCTTCCTCTGACGACGAATTACACAAGGGACGAGACTAATCGAAACCAGGAAAGATTATTATTATTATTTTTTAATGATTGGTAAAGGCAGGGGCAAAGATCCTACGACCACATTGCAAAATTAACACAGAACAAAAATACAGGGAGCCCCTCTCTCCTGATTATGATTTCAAGATGGGATCTCGGTTTTGCGGGAGAAAGGTGGGGTAATCTTTCGCTACACGTTTACCGACACCCTCCACGAATCAGACAGCGAAGTTGCGAGGGTGCCATATTGTGAAGCCTCAGCACCAGTTTCCAGGCTCCAGCTCACATCAGCAGCATCTCACCAGCCCCCGGCCCCTCCGCCGCGAACCTCCCCGAGGCATTCGCCCTCCTTCCCCAGCTAGCCGTTGGGCAAAGCTCCCAGTTATTTCTGGGAAGTAGAGTCCGGTAAGAGATCTCAGCCTTACCTGTAGAGTTGACCAAGCGATTTGCCAGCGAAATTCTTCAGTCCCTCCTTGCCGGGGGTCAAAATCCTTTGTTTTACCGACTCCATTCCTGCAGGGATGCTCGCTGGGTTCTGCTCTGCTCTGGGTAGGGCACCGCTACGAGCGGCGATGGTTCATATCGGTCCCATCTCTTTAACTTTTCCCCCTCATCAAGCGGCTGGCAGCGCACCTCCGGGAGGAGGGAGAGCGGGAGGAAGCGTG